GTACGTGTAATACCATCTTTCAGTTAAAGGTTGATCAATTACAGATATCATCTAGGAACCAGCAACTCTGTTTCAGCCAGCCGTAGGCAGGTATTGATGTCAGTTGTTTTTCTCTCATAAATTCAGTAGAGATGCATAAAGTAATTCACCATTTATTAAAAAAAAAAAAATAATGGATGCTTCAGCTGACTTTTTATCACAGTACTACAAGAAGCAGTAAAATGACGGCTCAAGAATTTAAAATCCATAAAAAGGAACATTTTTACACAGCGAACAATTAAATTTCTCATTGCCAAACTATGTTTTTGTATTCAAAATCTGGGTAGGGCTAGATATGTACACACACACACACACCACACACCCCCAGAAATGCCTGTTAATAACTTGTAAAAGATGAGAGGGGTTTTTTATTGTTTATTTGTTGTTGGGTTTTTTTTTTTACCCATGAGGAAAAATTCTTGTTTTCAGGCTTATGGCAATCCTAAAGGTCTGCAGAAAATGGAGAAAGTACTAGGGAGGACAGGGGAGGGAAATTTCCCCAGTTGGGATCTGGTACTTGTTCGTTACAGTGTCTTCTGCATTTCTCTGTAAAGCATCCAGTAATGGCTGCTGGCTGTGAAAGCAAGGGGACTGGTCTCCCTGCTTAGGGAAGCTCCCCAGCTCCTGTATCTTTAGTTGTGCACTAATATCCATCTCTCACAGCATTCTCCTAGAGAAGGTGGCGGCTCACGGCTTAGACAGGTGTACTCTGCGCTGGGTCAAAAACTGGCTGGACGGCCGGGCCCAGAGAGTTGTGGTAAATGGAGTTCAATCCAGTTGGCAGCCGGTCACGAGCGGTGTTCCCCAGGGCTCAGTTTTGGGACCAGTTCTGTTCAATATCTTTATCAACGATCTGGACGAGGGGATCGAGTGCACCCTCAGTAAGTTTGCAGACGACACCAAGTTGGGCGGCGGTGTTGATCTGCTCGAGGGTAGGAAGGCTCTGCAGAGGGACCTGGACAGGCTGGATCGATGGGCCAAGGCCAACTGTATGAGATTCAACAAGGCCAAGTGCCGGGTCCTGCACTTCGGCCACAACCACCCCATGCAGCGCTACAGGCTTGGGGAAGAGTGGCTGGAAAGCTGCCTGGCGGAAAAGGACCTGGGGGTGTTGGTCGACAGCCGGCTGAACATGAGCCG